ATGAGTGCATTAACACTTACTTCATTTAATATTTGCATTACACGCGTCGCGAGATGTAGCATTCTTTGTCCACCATGAATCATAGCTTGGAAATAAGTGGTGATTGAACTCTTGCATCAGTATAAGTTTCCCATATTTCCTTTGTTTGTCATGTATTCAGGCTCATGTAGTACTCGCAAGAGGACATTGAGACAACATGCACAGTTCATTTGAATGTTTTTTCAGTGTACTTTCACCGCGTATACACAGTGTGTTATACAAGTGCCGTGTGGACTTGTAATTGAGTACGCTTCTGTATATTAGTACTTCCACCTTGTTAGACACAGTACGCAATTCAAAGTCTCCTGTAAATACTAACTTTTAAATTTCATTCTTAGGTTCTCGAGTAGTAGACTGTCCTAGGCATATGGTGCCGTATCATCAATCCATTTCAATTTTTTGTCTTTATGCAGCAAGAGTATATGCATATATCTCATTTGAGCTTCAATATAAGAATTGCTTTGTTTAGCTTCATTCATTGATGTTTTTTTATTCTGGCACTATGTAGTAGATAGCTTGGCTTATACACTTATGATTTCTCTCAATTATGTGTATTGCATTTTCATTAGATATATGTATATATGTCTCTGTGATCGTACTGTACTCATCTAATATAATAGAGTTTTAAGGAAGTTATCAGTTTATCTAGTTCGCAAGTCACTCAATTATTATATATTGGCGTCATCATCTCCAAAACCTACGCGCACTCATAAATTGTGATCTACGCTACTTGGATATATAAATCATAGTTAGTCTAGAATACAATGAAGCTGTGCACATTGCACATCTGACTATGTCTATCAGATAAGCTATATTGATAGTCTCTCATGTACTCATTTACTTGGTGTTAGCTCTAGTATCACTCTATACAGATTCGCAAATTCTCAAATACTCTTTTATATATGTTAATAATGTTGGTTTTACAGCTCATTAATTCCATATAAAAGTTATGGTAAATTATAGAGTGGTTATAAGTCCATTCTTAGAATAGTCCATAATGCATTCATTAATATCACAGCGCTGTATTTGTCCTTATGTGTATGGTTCATTTTCAATTCTCATAAGTGTCATATTCCTTGAACTACTCTCTTTTCAGTCATGCTAATCTACTGAGCACTCTCGGCGGTGACTCCCCGAATTTAGATGTAGATAAAGCACTAATAAGTAGTCTCAAGTCGTTTATCCGTCTTCCAGCTTTTATCCTTTAGTAGTCGAGCGTAGGTCATAAGCACTCGATTGTGACGTGTACATCGTGATTTGACAACTCAAAGGATCTCAAGTGGGGCGTACTATCTCTATCTTCCTATATCCCCTAGCTTTAACTCTAGCGATAGTCACCGCACTAATATGTGCGAGGTCTCGGGCACCTGTTAGAAAAGAGCCACTGAGTATTGTTTCACTTCACTGGATTTATGTTAAGAGGATAGTATAAGTTTTAATTGTTCACACGTTTTACTTAAGATTATCTGCTTAGGGATGAATAGTTCAGAGCTGCCGCGTGTAGTATTGGTTACCCACCTGTGTTCGCAAAAGCGGGTAGCGCGGAATTATCCTCCGCTCACCCTTGTGGCGTGCTACCCCTTCATGAGCCGCGGAGGTGGTGATGAGTGCTTATGATCGCTGCAATAATGGCAACAGACGAGAATAACACATATGAAGCTCGGGACTTTTTGTAGAAATGTGTGTAGACCAGTTATAGTATACTGCTGATTTGGTTCGGCAGTTGTTTATTATTGTTGGGAGACAATACATGAGTCCATACGGTAAAAGAAAGAGAATGATTTCTTTCCTTTATTAGCTTATTATTTTCAAGTGTATCATGGCTTAGCCTTAAGTTACTGAGTTAACTTCAATCTCTGAATGAAACATTTAATTTAAGACCTTAAATATATAAGAATTTAATAGTGAAAACTCATTGATATAATAATAAGTCTATCTATAGAAAAATTTGTCTATAGAGCATTCAACAAATAGTATATTATAAGAAAATGATCAACTTTAGTTAAAATTAATAGAGAATAATAGTGTCTAGAGTGATGAATAATAATCACTCTCACAATTAATGAAGTAAGTTATAACTTATATCATATACATAAAATGTGATCATATAGAATATAGTTGAAGTATGGCGAACCTACTACAATCAAATGTATTAGATAGAGAATTGATATTCTCGTAGAACTAGATCGAAGTAGAGTGATATAATTCATTGTAATGTGAATTAAAATCTGTCTCTGTGTTAATTTAGTTTATATAAGATTGAATAAATTAGATATGAAATAATAACATTTATATTGTTCATTAATTAAAAGAAGAGCTAAACTTATAAGTAATTTTAGAACCAAGTTAATGACCATGGTAATTGTGAACAAGATTTGGAGAATGCGATTTAAGCCGTGAGACTTTTGAATGACTCTAATGATATTCATGCTAACAGAATCATAATTACAAGCGGCTCCTGTATATATAATGATATTGGATAGTAGCATGAATTCGCTAGTAGCATAATTAAGCGATATCTTGAGATTTTAGTGAGGATGTAATCTGACATAGTACATGATTTACAACAAAATATCTCGTGACAATATGGGAACTCTGCCTAGGCATTGAGGACATTAATGCAGGATTTACGGGCTTAATACTCTCCATTTGAAAAACGAGATTTATAATCTTTCAACTAGTCTTAGAATCCTCGGTTTTCCCTTTCAATCCATCTGAGTTACGCGGATTGGCCAAGTGCATAAGAAAGAAGCGAAAGTTAGCCTCTCAAAGTGCGCCTCACCGTGCATACTCATTCCTGCTCAGTAATGTTGGATAACTCTCGCCATAAGCTTCGATATAGGTGAAGGGTCAGGAATCACAACGTAATAGGTGAGCGAGTTCTAGCTGTCGGGCCCAGGCTCAAAATGGATGTACATCGCGATCAAGTTCAACGGGAATCTCTCGTGCTCTCTCTCTCTACGTATTCTGGATCGGAGTGAACCCGGGGAGGTGCGACAGTGAGAGTGGATTCGACTATGGAGGAAGATGTTGGCACAGCTAGCGGGATGGACTTTAGGTTTCGAGGGGTGGGGGTTCGATAGATGTGAAAAAAAGCACGAATGAAGGGCTTTCGTCGTCATATTATAAGCGTGAATCAAACTCTCCAACGGCGGAAGGGCATGTTCAGCTCATGTGATACTCAGATGCCTAATTCTTACCGCGGAGTGATAGCGGAGGTTAAGTCACTTTGGTGAGAGAGACGCTCGGGATAACTGACTGAGGGCTTTAGGAAACACGTATGATTTGTTATATAAATTTTGGGATTCAGTGTATGATATAAATTTTACATTCAGGCTGCTGTTAAGGTCAACACAACTGGCGTTCTCTAAATAAATTCTAAACAAGCCTCGTTAGCTCGATCTAACATAGGACATTAAGACACATGTGCGCGTTCGGCACTTCAGAGCTCGACGTCATACTGCGCCTTCGAAAATGACCTTATCTAAACATTGTAAGGTGCACGGGATCATTTGCTCTAGAGTGTTACCTATAATAAGGACAGATGCGATCTTCAAGTAATCGAAAAACTGGGCTGACCACAAGTTAGAAAGGAGCGAGATAACACAAATCGGAGCAAGATGAGGTGGGAAATGAACCAAATGCTACGTTGTATATATGGAACGGGTGACTAAAGAAGTGCTAGTGCTGAGAGGATGAAATAGGCGGCAGGACACTTGATCGAAGTTTAGGTTTGAGGTAATTGATGAAGCAATTTATATATCTTTAGTTGTATTTTCTTTAATCAATTATATATTAAAACAATTCTGTTAATACGTAACTATCATATAATAGATGTGAGATATATTCTTATATTAGAAGTATCTATATAATTTTTTAACGAGTCACTCCTCTATTCAATATATAGCGTACTGCTTCGTATAAATAATTTAATTATATACTACATTTCATACAATACCCAGTTATCTCTCTTAGTATTTTTACATAAGTGTAATTTATATATCTATTATCAGATAATAACAAAGATATCTGGTATAGTGCATAATAATAGAAATTTGGCGGGATTTTACATTTACATATACATATATCTATATATATTATATATCACGAGCTCATCTCTGGCTCATCAATTATCAGTGAACATATTATAAAATCTATATGATATACTGTTACATACTAGTGTAATAACTATTAAACTATAGATAAATATACAGTGTATGACAGCTCAATTAGTAAATAAATATTTTTATATCATAAATCTAATGGATGCTTATATTAAT